TAGAAGCTGTCCTTCCTTCTCATTCGTCTTAGTAAAAGTATTGTGTGACACTATGAGAAGACGCTGTAGCTTGGTTTGCCTTTTTTGGGACTCAATGAGTCCTGTAATGCCATTTTGTCCACCATAAGTAATTGAAAATGTTGAATTGAACTGAATGCAGCTAACAAGAGAATCAATTTTTGTTCGTTTTATATAAAGACATTCTCCCCCCCCATATCATCATTAAATTTGGAATTTCTTTTTTCAAGCACCATTAGGAAGGACTTTGTAAAAACTGAACTATTATGCTTTAACAGTAGGTAGTATATGGTTTTTTCCCTAGTCTCTAAAACTATGTACTGGTAGCCTTTGATTTAGATGACGGCTATAAAAATATTTGGAGGTCAAAGCAGTTGGAGGATTATACTGTTATGCTATTGAGTAGGTTACTGCTGTCAATCATTGGTGTTGGGTGGTGTGAAATGTGTATATTAGTGAATGCATGTATGTGGCCAGACAACTAGTGAGAGAATGAAAAACTGTTAACCACCTCCATAATTCTCATGATGCCTATTTGAGACCATGTTACCACAAACATATACAGTCAAAAGTCGTTAATTCGGACACCCATAATCCGGACCTCAAAGCTAAAAACTTTCCGCATGCGCAGCGTTGACACATGTGCATAGGCATTTACGCGTGCGCGTAAGACCTTTACGACTGCACATATGCGTGTGCGCAAGTGCAGAATACGTTTTTGCGTGCGCGTTTAATGTATAACGGACGGTATGAGCTAAAATTATCTAATTATCTATTTCAGTTAATGTTGATGATTGTGTTGTTCCTTAATCTTTGAACTGGATACGGCTTATTACTTTTTTCAGACTGTAAAAGCAATTTTATAAAAGTAAACATGAACTTTCGATTATGTCAAATAGAATTTCCAATGCTGGAGCTCCCAAAGGATCTACAAAACGAAAGTATGTTTCGATGTCCATCAAACAAAAAGTGGAATTGCTGCAAAAAATGGATAAAGACATGAAGAAGGTGACAGAGAGGTTAGTGAAAACGAAAAAATTTCGATTGCCAAGTTAGTCTGTATTCTCGGCACAGCAATTATGGGACTTGAACAGCGGAACTTTTGTAACTGAACAAGAAATTATGTCTGTTTATAGAATTAAAGAGAAAGTATTATCACATAAAAAACGAAGCAACTTAAACAACTTGCATTGAAAGAAATGTTTCATAAAGTAAACAAATAAATATTAAGCTTTTTTTTTTTTTTTGTGTAAATTTTGATACCCTTTAGATCATCATTGTTCTTTATTTCATAAATTACGGTTTCATATTTTTAATTTTAGAATTTCTACATGCCATCTTACGAGATTTAAAGTGATGATCTATAATCCGGAATCGCCGAAATCCCGACGACTCCGGATTAACGACTTTTGACTGTATCATGTTAAAGGTGCAGATGTAGGATTACTTAAATAGAGATGTACTAGTTGAGCTATTGATTTATTAGCACCAAGTGTTTGATGAGAAGTAGCAGTATAAGTTTGGTGGTTGGTAGGAGCTTCATGCTGCCCTAGCACACAGGCCATGTTCACATATTGGCAACATGATAGGCGATATGTTACTCTACACATAAAAATATACATCATGCGGCATATTATTATATGCCCAATTCTAGCTAATGCAAGGCTCTGATAATAATATGATCTATACATGGAAATTTTCGAAACTAAATTATAGAAAACAATTTATTCTGATGAATCTAATTCCGAGATGTGATCCATGCGGGCCAAACAGCTGGAATCCATGGCTATGCCAAAAAATCCGGGATGAATGCTCACCCTATATAAAGTTAGAAAATACTTCTATATCTAAACATTTTTCTCTTAATTTGCTAAATGCTAGGAAGGAATTTTATATCATCTAAAATTTTTCACAAATTGGAGAAAGAGAAATACACCATAATTCATCAGAAATTCTACTGTGAGAAGGAAAAAGCGGATCATTATGCAACTGATAACTGAATAAAAGATTTGGACTGCAAAATGAATAGAAGTCAAGCAAAATTTATAATATCGTCAGAATTGGATTGTATTACAGAACACTGCCGGAACTCACATCAACATTTAAAAATGATCAAAGTAGTTGGTTTACAGAACTGAAAGAATAAGCTACTGTTTCATTATTGTGCAATATGGGCCCAACTATTAAGGTGACAGCACTGGCTATTGATTAGGTTGTCAAGACTGCTGTTCCTTCTAATTGCCTTTGGAAACATTTACTAATCCTGAATGGGAGCAGGCAGCTTACTCAAACTATGCTCGTGTGTGTGTGTGTGTAGAACAAACACCACCACTAAGAAGGGTTAACTTTACCCTTTATTTCTTACAGCATACAACCGCTTCTGCACTTCAGGATACAGAGACCAGCAGCACTTATGGTCTAAAACGTACAAAATAAGAAATAAACTAACTTAACTAAATAAGAATTAAACTTAGATGCTTTACAGAGACTAGTAATGCAAAGATTGGCCTTTTGACACTACGTATGTAGTGAGCGAAATGCAAAAACTTCCCATATCAGGGGGAACCAAGATTTGGCCTTAAAGGCAGACATGAACTGACTGAAAAGCATGTGTGTGGTAAGGCAGCAAGAAGTCTCTCTCTTTCTCTTGGCTAAAGGCCACTTCCTAAATATCTATACAGTTTGCAACCTCATTAGCATAAACAATTTTACTCCTGTTTATTCTGGCTGGAAATGGAAAATAAGAGAGGATATCAGTTTTAAAATAAATTTCAGTAAAACTTAAAATCCTTACAAGGTTATTTCATTATGGTAAAGCCACAAGAGCTATTTGCCTTCATGGAGGTTTTTCTAACGGAAACAAGCTTTTGTTCATGCTACACATGGGGAAAACAACAAAAACCAACTGCACAGCCAGCCAGTTCACCTGGGATCGAACCCAAGCCAGGTCGAATTGCCAGTAGAGTTCTTAACCACCTGGCCACTGGTGGGGGCCACATTGATTACTGACAAAAGCAGAAAACCTTGATGCTTGAAAGAAGTCAAGAATTTTATTCTAACTCATCAACAACAAGAACTCATTGATGACAAATAGTATTTTTACTGATTTTCTTCTGAAATGGGACAGTGAACTGGAAAAAAAAAAGTTTTACTAATTATAGCACTGTGCAGCACACACATCTTTCTGAAAAACATTAATGTCTCTTACTGTATTACATACCTTTATTAATACAATTTCTAACATTCAACCTTTAAGGGTATAATAAAAGCTTTCAAATGTCATTATAGAAAAAACATTCAGTAAATGATGAAGAGAACTGAGTTTTGTGAAACTGCAAGCATTTCGCAGGAGATAAGTAAGTTGATAAACAGCAGCCCCTATTTTGAAACTGGGAATTACAAATTTGAAACTGTTAACATATTTAAATATTTAAGATCAGAAATTTATACTCTCAATGATTTAATGCCTGAGATCTGTAGTAGAGTCACAGATGCTAACCGATGTTTTTCAGTCTAAAAAAATATTTGAAGTCTAACTTGACTAGCAGAAATATGAAGATTTTAATTTACAAAAGCTTAATCAGAACTATTCTTATATATTCTGCCGAGACCTGGGCAATGACAGAAAATGCTAAAAGTACCATTTCTGTCTTTGAAAGAAAAATTTTGAGAAATATGTTTGGCGGTATAAAATGTAACAATATCTGGCGAAGAAGAACTAACTCTGAACTCTATCAATCTTTTAAAGAAATAGATATAGTAAAATATATAAGGATTCAGAGAATTAAATGGGGAGGACACCTGTGCAGGATGGATGAAAATCGAATAACTAAAAAGATCTTGTTGGCCAGACCATTCGGCACCCAGAAAAGAGGGAGACCTAAACTTAAGGAGTCTCGACTGTTTGGAAACAGATTTAAGAATTTAAAAAATAACCACTTGGATGTCCATGGCCAGGATAGAAGAGCTTGGGATTTGATTCTGAGGAAGGCAAGGGAACATCCCGGGCTGTCTGGCCATTGAAGAAGAAGTAAGTTGATCACTCTGCTAGAAGCTATGAACATTTTAGTAAATAAAAAGGCAAATCTCTTAAAATGAGTTCAAAACCTTTAGAAACACGGATTTTACATATAAAAAGTCTCACAAAAATTGCAAACTATAGCTAATGCTTCAGATATCAGCAAGGGAAATTATGAGGATTAACTTCTAGACTATGTATGTGTTAATTCATAACAATAGACAATATGTGTAAAAATTGACTATCAAACTGTTAAAAGAAGTGCAGACATTAACAGTGAAAGTGATACAGAAAAAAAATGATGACATGGTTATTGTCAACTGAATCTAGAAAAACATTGTAAACTTTAAGAATTCTTGAACTGAACAGATGCTGCTCACAAAAGCTATCAATAGTTTTATGAGATTGAGAAGTAAATGAAAAACTGTTATTGAACAATATGAAACAAACACAGAATAGTTGTATATAAACGATAAAATTTCATCAAGAACGTAATTATACAACTATTTTTATAAAAATTTTTTAAAATGTAAATAGTTTAACTTTAGTATTAATTTTTAATCATAATCTTATGATTAATTAATGACTTAATTGTTTATTATTTTATTTGAGAAGTTTAAAACTGATATAAATATTTGCAATACACAAATAATTTATTACCACTTAATAAATTCAGATGCGCTTGGAATGGAAGTGATTTTAATAGCAGCAGGCACTATGTATACAATATCACAATAAATTTTCCAGTAAATATACAGAAACTTCCAATCAGTCAATGCTTTTATAAGGACCACTCACAGTGACTATTTAATTAAGAGTAATTGGTATGAAACATCGCCAGCTGATGAGAATACATTAAATTCATTTTCATTACACAAACTATGAATTATAACAACCTTTTTCTTTACAGAGAGGAGTCATTATAAAGAGCATTAACTGTACTAAAATTTCAGCATATACTTACAGGACTAGCAGGAGTTTTGGGCCAGCCAGGACTAGATATACACTCTAAATCATCATGGAAAGATGACATGGATGCAGCACCGGGAGAGGACAAAGTATTTGGAGTCGGAGGATATGAGAAATTAGGCTTTGAATTTGTTTTTGCAGAACTCTGTTCATCTGGTATAGATGATGATGCAGATGCACTTGAAGCTTGACTTCCTTCATCTACGTTAGCTGGAGGCTGAAGTGCATTACCAACATTGCGAGAAGACATTGAAGCAGCATTTCCTATTGATGACACAGGGGATGGCATGTTACTAGGCATATGGCTAACTACTGTTCCAGGGAGAACTAATAGGGGAGAAAATTAGCACATAATTATTAATTTAAAGATTTAAAATAAAAATGTATTTCACTAAGGTTTCCATTAGTTATTTGGGTATTGTGCAAACAAATCATGGCAATAAATAGAAAACTTTTTTTTGGGTGGGTGTTATGCATATGCATGATTAACATAAAATAGCTTTGTAAGAGTGTTTCATCAAACCAGTAACTTAAAAGGATTATTTGGTATTCATCTCTGGGGGGGGCAAAAAGAAAAAAGAGGATGGTCCCTAAAGTAAGTAAAAAAAAAGCATGTTTACAATGTTGTTACTACTAGTCACAGTAACAGAAAAGAACTGAAACCGTAAACATGCACAAAATTGGTGGTGGTGGGAAGAAGAAACTCCAATATAGAATCAGTATATAAATTTAACAAACTTTGAAATCATTATGCATGTATAAACTATGAACTAAATCTCTTATAAAGCATACAATAATGGAGGCAACAAATTCATCATTGGAAAAATGAAAATAACAATAATAATATGTCTAACCCTCTTGCTAAAAAGAGACAAGTTACAAACTGTTCAGATCTACAAAGCAGGATTGATTCTTCCCATTCTTTTATAGACTATTTGCATGAAATGTGTTTTAATTACCTCTTTGCAGAATTAAAAGTTACTTTTCTTCTCTTTTATTAAATTATAGAAACTTATAACATTATGTTAAGCTTATTTAAGTTTTAAAATTATAAAGTTTTGGAAAGATTTTATTCCATTCTAGATGGTAACACCAAAAAAAAAAAAAAAAAAAAAAAAAAAAAAAAAAAAAAAACTTCAGTTAGAACGATACATTAATTATCTGTTGCAGCAGCAACTCTTGGTAGGCGGCAAGAATGACAAAGGTGTAGTAAAATCCCATGACTGTGAAAAGCAGAAAGACTAAGGTATTATATAGATCAGGGGTGGTCCAAACCATACTTGGTAGAGCCACATTCTTGAACTAAAAAATTTCAAGAGCTGCAACTACATTTTATAACAGTTGTGGACAGATAAAGTAGTAAAACAGTTTTTGAAACATTTCAAGAAAATGAACAAGGATTTCATTTTTAATTATTGCCATTCACTAGCATTAAACTATTTCTCAACTAGCTTTCAGATACAAAAACACGAATTTTCTTTTGCTTTTCCAAGCACCAACTTATTTTTACTGGACTATATTTTAAGAAAAATAAGTGTTTTCCATATAAATGCAAAAAAACACATTTTTGCATTTATATGGAAAACAAGTCCAAATTATTTTTACTAGACTACATTTTAAGAAAAATAAGTGTTTTCCATATAAATGCAAAAAAAAAAAAAAAAAAAAACAAATTTTTGCATTTATATGGAAAACAAGTGCCAACTTATTTTTACTAGACTACATTTTAAGAAAAATAAGTGTTTTCCATATAAATGCAAAAAAACGCATTTTATTCAAGAACCCCATAATCCAGTACTATGTGAGGAGCAGAACTACCTATATTTAATTCTAACTCATACCCATTCCTCCGGTGGGGGGGGGCAGGCATGATAATTGCATGTAATAGCTAGAAAATATTAAAAACTGAGTTAAATTTAAGCTATAAAGACCTGTTGACAAAGACTTCTGTCTTTAGATATAATCCCTGGTGCTGGGTCTTTAATTAATTAATTTTAAAAAAGAGCAGAATATATCCAAAAGGAGGAATTTATCTAAAATGGAAAATTTGCTTCATAATTCATGTTTACTATAAAATAAAAGTACTGTGCAAACATACTGTGCCAGCAATAACTTTCAATATTAAATCAGCTTCTTTAATAAAAGTATGTTGCAAATATTAATGTATTTTTGATAGAGATTTTATTTGTGAACATAAATAAGGAGGAGGAGGGACTTACCATCAAATCTGAGAATAAATTTTTAATAAAGTTTTTTTTTCTCTTAATATCCAAAAATAGCATGGATTAAGTGGTTACAGATAATCAGAATTCTACTACATAACAGGTATGAATGATACAATTTAAAAAAGAAGTAAAAATAAGGGAAGAACTTAAAAAACATCTTAGTAATTCACTTCAGCTTAACAAATGGGTAAAAAATAATTTTTATTTTAGAAAGTAACTATTTATCCTGATAACTTCTCAAGTGTTCAAGACATTTCAAGCAAATTAACACATAAAATTTCCTCAAAAGTACTACACTACATAGCTAACAAAACACAAAATTACAATTTTGATAAAAAATAGTATATACTATACCAAATGATGAATTTGAAATGCTCATTTTCATGCTATCAGCTAATGCATCAGTAGACAGAGTTTCCACACCTGACATGGCATCGCCTGGCAGAGATGATGTTTCTGGAGGAGTAGGTATTGAAGACACCTGTGACACCTGATTTGATGGTACCATAGCAATAGAGTGAATTGATGAAGCTTCTTGTGAAGATAACGCTGATGTAGGCGAAGACAAACTCTGTCGCAACATATAAGATTGTTGACTATCTCCACTTCCGTATATACTATAGTTAGAAACATACATATTCTGCATCTGATAACTACTCTGGTCTCCATAATGAGGCATTTGTGGCATATGTGCCCCAGTATTATGTGAAACCTGAGGAATTTGAGGTACACCAGTTGGGGCTGGAGATAGCCCAAGGCTTGAATTTGCATATTTCTTTGGTGATGAAACCATATTATTTGGAGCATAGTTTTTGTCTGTATTAACACTGCCATAATATACATTACTGCAGTTGCTTTTTACAGTCATGTAATTTTGGGATGGATTTGTACAAGAATAACTGTTTTGCCTTGCCATAGGGAACTGAGAACTATATGGAACAGAATTTGAGTTTTGATCCTTCGAAACAGGAGGCAAATACCTATTCACATCATTGGAAGTCTGTGATGGATAAGATGCTATAAAAAAAATAAAAAAAAGGTAAAGCTCATTCTTTTGCTCAGCACAAGCATGTAATCACAAACTACAAATATTCATAAAATTAACATTTATCTTCCATTTTAAGATAACAATACTAATTTAACGATTAACTGATGGACATCTGAATACTTATGATATTTATTGAATACTTATACAATATTAACGATTTCAAATTAAACGCTTAAAAATTGTACAGAAATCTGGAAAAAACACTGCAAGACCATAGTAAGACAAACATACAAAAAAGTTATTTAAGTCTGCTTTAAATTTGAACATCTGAACACTTGTCTTTATTATTCTTTCTTTTAAATAATATCTCAAACGAAATCGTGGAGGATAAAACACTTACAAAAATGTATGAAACATTTTTACAATGAATGCTACATACCGGCATGCAGTCATCTCTATTATTATAAAATGAAATGCATGTATGCGCATGCATGTTCCTTCACACTGCGAAAACCGGTGGTACCCAGAGCCATTAAATTTTGAATACATGTAGTCCTCTACCTCAATATGTGCACTTTAAAGGCTGAATATTGTATTTTGTTTTGATTTATATATTGTATGAAATCAATGAGTTTTTCAAATTTAATATCAATAAACTCAGCAATTTAAAAACAATGTGTTGCTATTCGGCAAAGCATAAGATGATAATTAGTATTTTGAATTTAACCCCTTTTGTTTGGATGTTTCTTTCAAATTTCTCACCCCACAAAAAAGCATTTTTTTAATTGCTCGAAATTAATATATGTTCCATTCTAAATTCGAAAATGCAAAATATTTTTGATGGACCTACAGGTGGTCAAATATGCGATATCCCATCCACTGATTACCAGTTTTGCCACCCTAGTTTTAAATTAAGTTAAAAAAAATTACAATGACATATATTTATTAACTCTATTGTTTTGATGTGTTTAACATAAATATCTAAATAAAAATAATTAATAAAATTACATCAAAAATGCTTTAGAAATTGTTTTTCTAACCTTACTGTTAAAACAGCTTTACAACCTGCTTTCAATATTAGAGCATAAAAACCACATTTATCACAAAACAAAAATCATTTATTTAATCAATCCCCCCAAAAAAAATTTTCATACTTTATCAAAAAAATTGGCTATAAATATAAAAAATATCCTGAATGCTTTTTTTTAGTTGAAATTCTAACAGAAATCACATGGTATTCAATAACAGATGTTCAAGGTGGAAACCTCACTGTGAAAATTTTGAAGAAACTAGGACAAGTCTTGTTATCTCTTAGCAATATTCAGAAATACAAAAATAAACGTGGAATTTAAAGTGATGTATGAGTAGCAACGAATTCAGTTTCAACGATGGATTTTTCATTTATTTCGTCACATAGCATGCGATGCCAACATTACAGGCTCAAAAATGCAAAATGTGCGAGATGCCACACTGATCTAGAAGGGGTTAATCAACAAACTCAACTATTTGAAAGCAATGTGTTGCCAGTTCCTGAAATAAATGCTTTTATCTTCCATAAGTCAATGTGTTGCTATTCAGCAAGACATAACATGTTTAATTTTTCTTTCAAATTTAATCTGCTTTTTATTGATTATCAAACTAAGTGGTTTAAAAGCAATAAACAAGTTCTTAATAATATTTTGAAAAATTTTAAATCTGATTCATGACTTAAGTACAAATGCATTTAATTTGTAATGTATATAATTAAACACACAAAACATTAAAAAAATTCTACCAGCTGGATTCATTAAAAATCATATATATTTTAAAAATAACCACTTTAGGTGAATTGTTTAAATGACATGACATGGGAAAATACAGCATGTCAAGTTTCTTCTCATCACATTATTAACTATTTTCTGTCATTTTATACTATAAAATCTGTAGAATAATTTCAGAATTAAAAAATTGACATTTTTGCCATTCATTATTATAATAATATTCACATTTGCATTACAATTATGATATAACAAACAAGCACTACTAGATTAGTTGTAATACTGCGGGATGCCCTGCTGTAACACGTAACATACAGAGGATGTTCACCCCCTTTTATAACGATTTTGATTTTCTCCATGAATTTAAATATTAACCTTAAAATACAAACCTGACTGACATCAAATTGGAATAAGGTTTAATTATCGTCTGCAGCATTAAAAACATTCTTTTCTTTAAAAAATACCACTGAAAAATAAACAATGGATCAAAAGCTATATTTTTGCACTGTCCGAAGAGAAATACTCTTATTCAATTATTAAGAAATGAAGTGAAAAGCATGGTTTTAATATTTCTACACATAAAATAAGTGACATAATTAATGTGAAAGGAAAGAGACATCAAAAGTTCACATCTGACTGGGAAAAAGGCAAAAAATGCAGTCCCAACAAAGGTACATACAGCTCTTAAAATTAAATCTAACGACGCATCTCATGTTTAAAGGAAAATCCAGTCCACCCAAGGAGCTACTGCAAAATCTTTAAATATATCTGTAGTAATGGTGAACAAAATTATAAAATCTGATTTAAAGCTAATCAAAACAAAAAACATGATATTCATCGCCTAATGCTGAAGCATGTTTCTCGGCGTAAGACTATGTGCAGATTGCTGTACAAAAATTATCTGGTAGGTGAAAAATAGAAATATATAGTTACAATCGATCAAGCTTGGATATAAGACTGCAGTAGTAAAAGATCGATTTACTACCGAAAAAGAGGAGGGAAAAAAAAAAAAAAAAAACTTAATATGTTGGTTCAGAGAAAACAAGGAAAAATTTTTGGTTATTATTGGATTATAACGGAAAACTTAAAAAATTAATTAAGATTACTATCAAAAACATGTTTAAACACCTATTTTTAAAGCAGAAAATTTCTCTTTATCCAAACAATCTTCACTGTGTTAAGTTCCATCAGGATAAGGCTTCAACCCATATCTCAAATTGTACTGCTCTCTGAAAAAATGAGAAATGGAACTGGAATTGAAGATTTCCCTTTAAATGCATCGTGTCCAAGTCCCCTGATGTGCCCCATATGGATTACTCTGCATAAAACAAGCTCTTTATAATGGCATCCCAAAACATTGGATGGACTATGGAAGATTGTGAAGGAGGACTGGAATAAAACCAATCTTGTTTTAAGAAAAGGACTTTTATCTTGGAAATCATGATGTAACATGATAGTTCAACAAAAGGGCTATCAGGCGGAACATATTACAAAATAAAATTCTAAGGTTTGCTTATATATAAATCTTTGCAAAATCGTTACAAAAATGTACGAACACCCTTTGTATATAACCAACAGAAGGTAACTACACTTTAAGACATAAAAATTAACGCATCAAGAAGGGTTTACTGATAGAGCTACACCCAAGAAAGCAAATTAAAAAGGCATTGGTCCTCTCTGCCTTGGATACACTCTGCTACGGATCCACGACACTGATTCAGAGGTGATGAATTATATGCAAATATTTTTTGAAAAATTATCTCCATCTGGCATATTATGCCCCAACACTTTGGGAATGCCTCCATAAGTGCTCCACAGGACAATTCTCCCAAATCTTTAATAACACAAAAAAGTCTTCCTATCTCAGCAGGCTAACAAAAGGGAACATGCAACACACAATGCCTGACCTTGTTTCAGTACTTTAGGCAATGGTTTCGATATGGCGATTTTTTTTTTGAAACAATAATTATTGAAACCAAAGCAAAGTATGGCACAAAAGGTGATGAGCTGATTATCTTTTGGATGTTCAAAAAAGAAATGCAGTATGAGATGTATTCCGTGCAACTCATTACGATTGAGGTTATTTTAGAAAGAGAGCATGAAAAACCTGAAAAATCACAAACTGATGATAAAGAAGACAGAGAATTAGAAATTAAACAACGACAAGAAAGATATGTTGGACAATGAAACTGACACTTTAATACTGTCATATCCTGCAGTTGTTTTATTGGTAGAAACAATATATTTGATTTTATGAGGGGTACAGAAGTTATAAGATGAAAACAAACCCAAGCAAAACAACAGCCAGTTTTTTTAAACAAGGCAAAAATAAATTATATGCAAAGATGAGTTATAATTAATTTGTAATAAAGAATATTATGACTGTAACTGATTAAAATATGCATGATTAATAAAATAAAAATGGATTAATAAAATAACTTGTAAATGATTTGTTTTTTGTTTATTATTTACACCTATAAATCAAGAAAAATTCTTCAACTCAACCAGTCAGTTAATTTGATATTTCTGCTGTGTTAGAGATTAAACCTGTAGATATGTTCAATTTGAATAGGTAGAATGAAATTTTGGCTGAAAAATACAATCCTATAAAGTTCCATATACAAAAAGCTAACGCACATAGACTGTGCGTGTAAGTTAACTGTATATACGTATGTACTCAACATAATATTGAATATACTATAAAGCATTTTTAAGTTCAGCATTTCAAAGATTTACGAAGTATGTAATGAGATCAACTTGTGTATACCATAGCGGTTCATTTGTTGGGAGTAATGATCCATATTTGCATTCTGCCCTGAAGTGTTTTGACAGACTTTGTTTCCACTCCACATTGCAGACTGCATTTGATGGTTATATCCTATTAAAAAAAAAAAAAAAGGAAGTTAAATACAAGATTTTGCAAATAAGTTGATATTCTTTTGTTTAAGCATGGAATTTCAAAACTAAATGACAGCACTATAGATATGATCTTATCACATAAAAACTTGTTAGAAAAAGCTTTGCATTTGTGGATTTTAACAGATAATTGTTGCAGCATTTTAAAGATAAGTTTGGGAATAATGTTGTGAAGAAATGAAAGTACACTAAGAGAAGATAGTCCTTGCTCAGAAGTCTTAAAGTTTGGCAAAAGCTAATTCAGGAACTAAAAATATTAACCATGCTGAAAAAAATTTTAATGTCGAAGATGGCATCCATACAACTGACCTATATGATATGATATTCACCAAAGTTTATGACATGTAAAGAGGTTACAAGATCAAAACCACCAAGTAAAAATTCATAAGATTCTAAAGGTGTCTGAATGCACAGACAAAATTTTGCATAAATATCTGGACACATTATTGCATCACTTACTTTATCTCATAAGATAACTGAACATCATACAGCTACTTCAGTAATTAGGTAGGTAAAATAATTGAATCTAAGTAATTAGCCCATCAATGTAGCTAGGTACCATCAATGTTAGCAAGTCATGACAACTGGCTTCATTATTAAAAGATGCTCACATATAGGCAAACGTACGGAGTTTTGAGGAAAAAAATTAACAAACAATCAATATCTAAATAAATAAAACTCATAAAAAAAAAAAAAAAAAAAAAAAAAAGACTGATTTTGTCTTTAAGTGGGAATCGGGCAATGATAAAATTAAATATTTTCCCTTGTAACTAACTTATTGCAAAATCTGTTTGAGTTTTTACCTTTATAGAAAGTTTCATCTTTGGCATTTTAAAGGTATTCATCACTATAATATAATGCATAAATTGCTAATAAAGGAGTTAAAACAAACATTGCATAATTCTGATGTATTTTGTAGAGTAGTAAAAATGCTTTACATTAGGTAGGTAAGTTTTCAAATAACTTAAAATATTAAAATATCGCACATTACAGAGTTCAGGTGTAATCACATCAAATACATAATATGATGATATAGACTACTTTTATTTATATGCAAGCAGACATGCTTACGTACAAGAACTATCAAGGAAGCGGCTACTATCGAAGGGAATAATTGTATTTTACATTACATTCCTTACATTGGGGAAGGGAAAGTTAGAAATGACTTGAGCTGTTTTTGAAGTTCTTAACTAATCTGAAGAAATTATTAAAAAGCATATATGACCTTTGGATGTTTCACTATCATTATAATGCATCTTTCCATTGTGTCCAAAAAACACAAGTATTTTTGGCTTCTTTAAATTATAATCTTAAATTATTCTTTCTACAGTCTAAATTTGGCCTTCTGTAACAGTGTATTGTTTAATTAACACGTTGACGCTGGCTCAGATATTTGCAGTCTGTTCCTTGCGGCAGCGTCTCAACTGCAGGTCCGCCCCATTATACTATTTAATACCCACTAGATTCAAATAGACCGAATTTCCAAAATTCACACGTGGCCTGCGCATGGTCTGGCCTGCCGATAGGACCCATGGTGGCCAGTCGCAGGAACTGGAAAAAACCCTAATTCGTTTTTTATGGCCATAAGCCCAGTTGACAGGCAAATGATGCATATGGTCAATGTTGTACTAGGAAAAAGAAATAGTCGTGCGGTTGTCGTAAATTATGTTGAGTGCGAGCGGCGATTTCGTCGAACCTGTGACTGACGATTTCCAGACGGCCAGGCACTCAAGGCCCCAATAGTATTTGGCTTACTGGACCGCTGGCAAAAGATATACAGTCAAAAGTCGTTAATCCGGACTGCTGATCTATAATCCGGATTCGTCGGGACTTCGGCGATTCCGGATAATAGATCAGCAGTTTAAATCTGCTAAGATGGCATGCAGAAATTATAAAATTAAAAATACAAAACCATAATTTATGAAATAAAGAACAATTATGATCTAAAGGGTATCAAAATTTACTACAAAAAAAAAAGAAAAAAAAGAAAAAAAAAAAAAGCTTAATATTTATTTGTTTACTTTACTAAACATTTCTTTCAATGTAAGTTCTTTAAGGTGCTTTGTTTTATGTGATTAATACTTTCTCTTTAATTCTATAAACAGACATAATTTCTTGTTCAGTTACAAAGTTCCGCTGTCATGTCCTATAATTGCTGTGTCGAGAATACCAACTAATTTGTCAATAGAAAATTTTTTGTTTTCAATAATCTCTGTGTCACTTTCTTCACTATCGGAAGCGAATTATAATGACGAGGAATTTGATTTAAATCATATCAAAGACGGAGTACATCGAGATGAAATACTACATTTAGTAAGGAATTATAAGCCGAATAAAATAAAAAACATCTGCCCTGAAGATAAGGATAGTGCTGACAGATCAACTTTCAATTCATTGCGCGCCGCATATGAAAAATTTTAGGAAATAAATTTTTTCTGAAAACTTTCTGTATTACACATCTTTTACCAATAGGGGTAAGACAAAACAGTTGTGTTATATGCATCTCACAACTTGGTCATCAATGACTAATTTAAGCCTTTAGATAGGCAAACTAGTTCTGCCGTTTTCTTAACTGGGGAGAGGGGGGGAGAAGGCAAAATCTGAAGAGCAACTTAATAAAGCAATAATTCTCTAAAATGTTCAGTTAAATAACTGCTTTAACAATAATGGAATATGATTATTTTCATAACTCAGTGTCTTCAAAATAAGAAAAAAGAAATTATTTTCCAAAAGTTAAAGGAAATGGTTGATGTTGTAAATCAAAGCTTTGGCAACTCTGTCAACAATTCATTTAAAAAGCATTATTGTTTTTATTCAATAACTATTCCAAAAGCATTGGTTTTTACAACCCTGCACCCAAGGAGCTGGAGGAGATTGCCTCATGAACTCTGCCAATCACGAATTAATTATGCTTCTGTTATAAGCTGAGAGAACTATCACTCACAGTCAATCTTTTGCCCTTCTGCAAAATACTGAAAGTTCTATGTTTAACTTTTCAGATAAGATCTGACAGAACTGGATATGAAACAAGCCAAATTTAAAATCCAGCCAAGAACAAACCCAAGTTTGGCATTGATTTTAAATAAAACTATGGATTTCCAGGATGATTACAGGTTCCTCTTCAGGACTAAACATAATTTCTTTTCTTTTCCCTTCTATTAAAAAAAAAAAAAAAATGCTTCTGAAGAAAGGGGCCTGTGTCTTAGCATCTTCAAAATCAAGAGTTTTATTCAAAATTTATGTCAAACTAAGATTACTTTTTTTTACTAATTTTAAGAGATCAGTTTGCTACTGAGCATTAATTCAGTCATCATGTTATTCAAACTAACTAAAATTTTGTAGAAAACTACAAATTAATATAGTAAAAGGAGAAAAAAAATTTTACATATTTTAAACTCCTACTTTTATGCACATATACATAAATCTATTTTTTAACAGAATATATATGGCCATATGTAATATCAAAATAATTTTGTTTCTTATCCCCTTTTCTCTGTTTACCTGATTTACTTTTCAAGTATTGCTGCCTGCAGATGATAGAAGGAAAACTTACTAAAATTGAATGTTCTTCCTAATATTTTTAAAAAGAAAGAAATTTATATAATATTTAATGTCTTATTAAATTTTTTATTTTTACAAATGTCACAAGATAGAATCATTTAACTGTGTAAAAAACTGAAGACTACGAACTGACCATAAAGGTTTTGATGAGCATATGGATTTATTTTTTAAACACCCTTCCTCTTAAATAATTTTATAACTTTGATTGACAGAAACAGAAATAACAATCTGATATTTTGAGGGCATTATGAAGGGCCAGGATCTCACTTGCAAATTGAAACTTGAAATTCATTTTCATAAAAATATATTTAAAATTGAGTAATTTTTTTGCGAAATATTTTATACCTATGTTATTTTCAGTGTACTAATACAGAAACTTAATTTTTCACAAACATTTATACACGTACAGTCTGGCTTTCAATATTTGAAGAAATTTCATGTTCCTTTGATTAGAAACTCTTCCATGCTATTTCCACATGCACTTATTACTTTTTTTTGTTTCCTTGAACTAAAAAAATTCTTATGACTAATAACTTGTCTCAAATTTTCTTTATAAAGGAGAAAATATTCAATAATTCTGAAAACAGCAAATGGAGAAAGTTATACCAATACCCAGGAGGCAATACTCTGCAAACAGTGAAAAAAGAATTTTCAAAGAAGATACCATGTGGGGTCTGGAATGAACACATAGCTTGGTTTTCTTTTGTATCTTTGCTAGTCAAAATTTTTGACACAACACCTGTTTGTTCCTTTTTGTGCTTTCATTACCAACTCTTTTCAACATGCTTCTATTTCGAAAATTCTGTTGATCATCTTTCACAGCAAAACATTTCCTAAGTATTCTTATGGAAGCCTGGGTCCTCATGCATTTAAAGAAAAAACAGGGTTTTCCAAATGATAATAGGGATCATATTCTAAATTCTTGGTAGAAGGAAGTGTAGTAGAATGTGAACGCACACTAATGTGCATGAAATTCTCAACCAAAAATTCCTTTCCCCTCATTTTCCAAATGCCTAACATTTTATGTTACATATATGCATAATGCAGATAAATGTAATCTAAAGAGAGATTTCATAACTTCATCTTTTTTAACTTTATTTTTATTTTCATCTGTCATAGTCCTTATCAAAACTGTGGTCTTTTATGCTCACATTGGAGCCAGGTTTACAAAACATTGAAGAGAAAAAGTAACTTTTATGCTTACATTATTTTGTAAATTTTTATGACATGTTCTAGAAAAGTATTTAAAATAAATGGATTATACATATGGTGGAAGAAGGCATGTCATTATGTACTTTCTATCTTACTCTTAAGTGTTGAACATCTAGAACTGCACAAACAGAAAACTTATTACACTATTTTACCTTCTAAAGTACAGTAAATAAAACCTCAGATGAATGTTTTAATTTGTCCATTAATACATAGTTGGTTGCTTGAAGATTATATAAACTGTGAGATGTTGGTTGCTTGGTTACTACATAAACTACAGGATAACGAAAACTTAAAACGTCTGACGTGTAGGAAACAGAACAAATGTTACAGTCCAATTAAAATATTAAATACAAAAGGACACACACCTAAATGAGCTTTGGCTTACCCTAAATATTGGGGAGCAAATAAAACTAATGAATCTAAAGCTGATAAATCAATTAAGTAGGGATACAAGGAGCTCTATTGCAGCAAGGTGCAACAGAGTAACCAGAAAACTACCAGATTCCTTTTATTTTACTTATTTTTTACCATTAAAATAAATTATTATTATATTAAGAGAGAAGACAAACAAGCTAAAGCAAAATAGAAAATTAGGCACAGCAATCATCTTAGATTTTAATTAATTTATTTTCTCACCTATCAATAAAAATGCATGGTTTGATTGTTAAAATTTCTGACTTTATCAAAACCTCCAGACGACCAGCGATTTTTTTTGCAAAAAAAGAAAAAGTATTAGATTAAAAAAAGCAGTGTCTCACTTTAGTATATGCTTACTTCATGCACCTGCAGTACCCATTTTTTTTTTTTTTTCATAATAAAGTATGCAAATCATCCTGATTCTTAACTTCAGTTTATCACCAAGTAAAGCATCTCCAAGCTGAAGAAACACAATTATTTATTAGCTTAAATATACGTGATCAATAATCTGTTGGCTCCACAGCCTTTCTGCTTGGCATACATCTCAAAAAGAAACATGCTACCAAAGTTCACTGATTTTACACCTACTGAATAACTTATATTCCTGACACCAATTTAGCAATAATTTTTTTATTATTTTTATTATTCTACCATCACGACTATCAGCTCAATGCAGAAATCACTCATGCAATGGTGTCTAACACAATTTTTTTAAATATTAGTACATGAATATCAAAGAGCATGATAAACTTTTATATTGACACTTGGCAACAATTACAAATTACAGACTTCAGACACTTACTTCACTGTGAATAATTCAAGGTATTGACCCGGAGAAATTTAACTAACGTTTTCGCCTACATACAAAAAATAGATTTTGTAAATGACATTTATAAGCAAAAAATTTGATTTAGTGCTGTTTGAATTAAAAACAACTGATTTGTTTTTCAGATATGAATATGTAGGAATTTTATTTATTCAGGGCTCAGATAAGCCTTAAACATTTGCAGGAAATAAGCATGCTTATAAAAAATAACTAATTCTGGCTTGAATTCTGCAGCAGGTGACAAAAGCAAGGCAAAATTTAGTGGAACAACATGCCTTTAGTCTCCAATTTCGTGATGCAATGCCAATAATGTACAGTGGATGACAGTTAAGCATTAAGCTATGCTAAAACAATACACTACTCAAAATCTGTAGTATGGTTCTAAATGCAGAAAATACATTCTAACCTTCTAACCTTATAGACACAAGGTGATAGCATTATAGCATGACATTACTACACAAGATTGGCTGCTTTATGGATGTGCTTCCTTATTCCATCTTTCCCTTCCTACTTTATTTACTTATTTCCCATTTCATTCACAGTTCATAATTTAAAGTAAAATTTCAAATAGGCTATTACAACTTAAATCACAGGCATTATTCCAGATGGATTTATTTATCTTTACACAGAAAAACACAGGAAATAAAAGCTGATGATGAATAAATACATTTTATAAATCTACTTTTTTCTCATTACTGACCACCAAATGATTAATAAAAACTAAATTATATTTTATCTTTGAAGATATTTGGGGTAGGGACTTGTTTTAAATTTTGCTAAGAAAACAGATAAATGTTTTCCCTAAGAAGTGATGTTATGAAGCATATATACATGCAGCTTCTGCTTTTGTAATGGAACGCCAGTTATATAATTAGTTGCTTCTTCATTTGGATTATGTTACTTAGTGCATTTATGTTATTTTGTGACACTATCTCAAATATTTTACTTAACAGATAGTACTACATTAATTTCATCTCTGCTCCACTCAATCTAGAACAGGTTATTTACTCCATTCACTATAGGGAGTTCTTAAATAAAAATAATAAAAACAACAACACCTATGGGTGTCTACTTTTTACATGTGGTAGACAGTTTTATGAAATTAATTTCAATCCTTAGAAGAAGGTTCTGTAATTACAATATTTTTTATGAAATTTTGTACAGAAAATTGCTCAACTAGTAAAATGTTGATTTTGCTTTATTATATTAAACACAAAAAGTTTATACCTTTACATGTAAAATCTGCTCATACACAGGAACTAATAGCTTCGTGGTACCAGTTGAAAAGTTAACACTGAATGTTGTTTTGCACATTTAACTATTAATCATCAAATAAACAACTTTTTCCCACTCTAAATCTGACTAAATTACTTAGTAATAACAGAAAATGAAAAGTGATCTAAGATTAGCTCACATTCCTCTTTGTATTCAACATTTTATTAATATTTCCCCCTTTATGAATAACTTATACAAATTTATGATTCTGTATTTACAAACCTCTTTCAGTCCTCCAATATTGAAAGTGTTTTCATTAAATTCTCTAATTTATATTGATAAATTCTGTTATAACTGTACGTGTCTAAATTTGGATATAAAGAGGACTCACTCTCTTACCTACACTGGCAAAACTACGATTAAAAAAAAAAAAAAATGTATACTTAGATTACACATCAAAACTTGGTCATCAAGAATTTTTTTTTTTGGGGGGGGGGGAAAGAGGTCAGCACAAATTTGAAATAACATATCCAATATTCTATGGTTGGACAAGTGCATTTTATACTATTAAAAAGTGGAATAAAATCAGGTTTCATTTTTAAGGGCTACTATCACAAAATTTTTGTGAACACTGTAAGTAAGTTATTTTTTCCAAGCCTCAATGTTTCAAAACAATATTCATTCCATGTTACATGGACGGGATGAAGCAAGTCTTCACAGATTATAAGACTTTTGCAACAGAATATTCTACTGGCATTAAGAAGGAAATAAATTTGAGTATCTTATTTTAGGCTCCAACTAAAATAATAATTTCTCTGAAAAAATTATAAATAATAATAATTTTAAAAATATATAATAATAATTTCTCTGTAAGTATCCCAAGGTGGCTACAACCGAATTTAATCACTGAAAACTAAGCCTATTAAGTATAGGTGTTAAGAGCCTGCTATACATAAGTAGGCTCTTAATACCAAAAGTTAAACAGAACTCATAAAACTGGACTTGGAACTTAATAAAGTGTTCACAAGAATTTGTTTTATGCATTTCTCTCACACTATTCAAAACATTCAGTTCAGTTTGTCTGCTTCAGCAGAAAACAAAATTTAGTAAATGGCAAACATGACTCACCCTGAGTTGAGAGCTGTGTTGAATGAGAAATGGATTGGTTAGGATTCTCCATGTTTTAACTAGATTTGCATAGGACAGAAGATATAAAACATCTATAAATAAGAAAAAGTATTATGAATTAATAACAAATTGAAACAAAATAAATACAATTAGAAAAGGAATCAAAATCGTATTTTCTTGGTTCATCTCATACACTTAATCATACCACTGTTGTCAAACCTGAAATCTGAAACACCTGAAGATTTTTGGTGCAAAATTGATGATGCCATTTCAAAGAACTCCAAACTGAATTAATTTCACTTGATAATGCATGATTCAGATTACTGAAAAATTTATGATACAACTGTCACTATAAAATATATTAATATTTAATAAGATCTTTTAAATGTTATGTTTTTTGACTAATTTCATTTTTTAATATTCTTTAACTTTTATACTGAGGAAATCCCGAGTAGGGAAGAAGGAAAGCTTTATCATAAATGATGAAATTAAAATTAATAATTAATGTACATGATATTTGTATAAAGAAACTTTATAATGTACTGTATATTGAAGTAAATGAAATTAAACAGAAATATTAATTGATTAAACATTTCTTGAATCTTCATATAAAGTTCCACATGAAATGAAATTTTAATGCAAAAAATTTAACATAAATTACATTTAATAAGATCGTAAAATGTAATAATAAAATTTAATAGGGGGGAAATTCTGAAATTCACGAGAATAGATGTGGGGATATTAAATTTGTACAATTTAATTTTCATTTATTACCAGGAAACACTTTCCTTAGTAAAAGCTAAAAAAATTAATAACTAGGAGATTCAATGATCTACTGGTAGGCTGGGGAGATGTGTTGAAAAACTGATATCGTTCCAGTGAAACCAGGAGAGCTAGCACTTATGTCATACATATGAAAAATTTTACGAAAATCTGTGTCATTTTATATTAGAATTAAAACAATTAAAAAAAATTTTTGAATCCTAAATGTTTCTCAAGTTGGGTGTCTATCAAATGAGTAATTTTAAAAGAATTCTGGTCAATACACTAACTATGCTACACTTAGGAACAATACTCTTAACAGAGAAAGATGATTCTTTCCCTCCCCTCCAAAAAAAAAATATTAAAAAAAAACTACTAGCGGGTTTTGCTTTCTCTCTTTTTCTAAGAACTTGAATTTCCAACAAGAATATAGTTAGGCGGAAGGCATTTATCCTTTTAGTTGTTAATTTGGCTGAAATTTTTTACGTTAATTTGACTTCCAGAATATGTGAAAATTTTGCAAGCAAAATAAATATTAAATGAAAATGCATTATATACTGAATAAATAATAAACTTAATAATAAAAATTCAATTTATTAAATCTAAACATTCAGTTTTATTAAGCAGTTCTGAATTTCCACTATATAATATACTGTTGTAATATTTTAAGGTGATACTTATTTTCCATTTTCCACCATTTAAATTTAAAATCATAATTTAAATGACTTAAGGCTTATATCTCACAATATAAAAAATGAGATTAGAAATATCTTCAGTCAAGTTTTTTTTTTTTTTTTTTTTTTTTTAAATTTTGGAAAGTTACATAAGCTAGCACATTTATCAGCCATGCCACTGCACAAAATAGGAGATCTTTAATTTATTTCTGCGCAGATTGAAAAGTGCTTTACTGGGTAGTCTCATTTAGTTTTAACAAACTGAGCATTATGAAAGGAATAAATGCACTTTCTAATTTAAATATTTAATTTAATTTTTCCATTTCCCTAAAGGGTGCAATCCGAAACACATTTAATTTACAATATATCCAAATGATAATCATGAATATTTGAAGCATGACTATAGTTAATAAAAAAGGCAAATTCTGGAACTTTTAAATTTAGAAATTAAGTCCTAATAGGGGTGATATTAGTGATTCACATGTTAATGTAATTGTAACAATCACATTCTTAATAAATGCATACATCAGATATTAATAAAACTAATTTTTCCTAAAGAGTTTAATAGTTTTTAAGCTACAATTTAAAATATTTAAATTACAGAAAAAGTGTGAAGATTTGACTATTGCAGCTCAAATTTCTTCCAAGACTTGCAAGATTCGAGGATTCAAATGCATCATCCTTATTTGCAACATACACATTTACAAAAAATTAATAGATTTTACCTTGAATCAAATTAATAAAAAAATGTAAAATCATAATGTAAAATATTCTGAACATGAATTTTTTAACATTAAAACTACACGATAGGTTTTTTTCCTTTTATCAAAAATAGGTGTGTTTATCATTGATAGTTTTAGCATTAAATGAAAATAAATCAATATTTTGCAAGAAATTCATGGACCTTGAAAAATAAAACAAAACTAATACAGAATTTGTAATTTAGAATTGGTCACTAATACTTTTTCTATGGAAAAGTTTGCTTATGAACGATTCAAAACTAAAGATAAATTCTACAGAAAATTCATATTTTCATACACTTACTAATGCTTCTAATTAAATGATAAAATATATTTGTTTACAAATAATATGACATCACATACAACTGCAGGTATGGTGTCAAACTATACTGAGAAAGGTAGCTATAAAATCTCAATGAATTAAAATTTAGAGTACAGTTAAATAAACTAAGAAAATTCAAAAATAAATTCATTATTCAAAGATTCTAATTTAGATTTCAATTCTTGGGGAATTAATAGCATTTCTCATCAGCAAGATTTAACACATACACTAAAATATGAATGTTTTGCCAGAAAAGGAGAAAGAAATATTCCATAGTCCCTTGACAGTTTGTTTAACTACAGTCCTGTAAAAATAATCCAAATTACTTTCAATTCTTTTGAAAGCTTCTGTTATCTAGTCTGTAAAAATTTAAGTTATGATTTTAATTCTGATATCCTTTTTCTCAATTTTTTTTAAGTGCCTCAACTCCTAATTTGCTCAATAAATGGTGCTATATTTTTTGCTTCTTTATGATTGCTTGCATATTTCATTCTACTAACTTGAATGACACAGGTTTAGCTTACAATGCAAAATATTCGTGTTTGTTTCCATCTCCCTCCAAACACAAAGTGTTTTGACAAAAAACATGAATATAAACTGAAATTTTATTTAATTCTAAATAATACTTTGAAGCTTTGTTCAATTTTAAAATAACCTTAAATTTCTGGCTTTCATGAATTTAGAACATGTCTGCTTTATACAATTCAAAATACACATGTTCTAAACTAGAAAGAAATATAATTAACAGATACAAAGCTATGAAGTTAACTCAACACTGGTCAGTACTACTGTCAACATATAAAGTTAAATATATATTCTTGTTTTAGTTTATAACTTTGATCTTTTTGTTAACTTTTAAATTTTAAAATACAGGCATATCGAGGAAAAGGAAAAAAACTATCGAGACATGGCTAGGGTTACATTAATTAATTTAATAATTTTATAGATGGATAGCCATTTTCAGTCTCAATGGTTTGGTTCGACAAACATGCCTATGTTATTAGCTTAGTTGGAGATTTCAGGTACTTTTCCCTTGATAAGATCTATCTGAAACCTCAAACTAAATGAATTGACTTTATTTTTTTTATTTTTTATAAAATATCTCTGTATTGAAAATGTATAAGTTTTTTTTTAAGCAAAACCAAATTTGATTTTGCTGCATAGGTTTTTTTCTAAAAAATTCTTTTAGTACGTTCTACTTACCAATTTTGTTATATAAGTTTTATTAAATTTTGTAGAATTTTCAGTAGATTTTTTCACGTAAAATTTTTCTGCTTTTGTTTAGTGTAACTGTTTTAACTTGGTGTTATATGTAAAATTTGGAATTAGCTGCATCAAATGTACTTTAAGGCTTTAGCTAATTTTAACTGTCCTTTTCATTTCAATCTATCTATCTATCTATCTATACAGTCAAAAGTCGTTAATCTGGACTCGTCGGGACGTCGGCGATTCCGGATTATCGATTTTTCCGGATTATAGATAATCAGTTTAAGTCTGGTGAGATGGCATGCAGAAATTATAAAACTAAAAATATTAAACCGTAATTTATGAAATAAAGAACAATAATGATCTAAAAGGTATCAAAATTTACCAAAAAAAAAAAAAAAAAAAAGGCTTAATATTCATTTGCTTACTTTATTATGAAATAAAGAACAATTATGATCTAAAAGGTATCAAAATTTACCAAAAAAAAAAAAGGGCTTAATATTTATTTGCTTACTTTATTAAACATTTCTTTCAATGTAATTTGTTTAAGTTGCTTCGTTTTATGTGATAATACTTTCTCTTTACTTTATCGGAAGCGAATCATAATGATGAGGAATTTGATTTAAATCATATCAAAGACGGAGTACATCGAGATGAAATACTACATTTAGTAAGGACTTATAAGCCGAATAAAATAAAATCATCTGCCCTGAAGATAAGGATAGTGCTGGCAGATTACCTTTTAATTCATTGCGCGTTTCGGCGTTTTCCCCACCCGGGCCGCAGAGCAGCGTGAAATTGATAAACAGATTTCGGAATGGTTTGAGAAACGAAGGATATGCCTTTATCCATTTTTTGCAGCAATTCCACTTTTGTTTAATGGACTTCTAAACATACTTTCGCTTTGTAGATCCTTTACATATTTGGAAATTCTATTTGACATAATCGAAAGTTCAAGCTTACTTTTACAAAATTGCTCTAACAGTCTGCAAAAAATAATATTCGTATCCAATTCGAAGATTAAGGAACAACGCAATCTGCAACATTAACTGAATTAGATAATTTTAGCTTAGCTTATACCGTCCGTTATACATTAAACGTGCAAGCGTAAACGTATTACGCGCATGCGCACACCCGAATCCGCAGCCGTAAAAGTCAACGCAACGCATGCCCAGAAAGTTTGTAGCTTCGAGGTCCGGATTATAGATCATTCCGAATTATGGGTGTCCAAATTAACGACTTTTGACTGTATATATATGCATAAACATGAATAACTGCTTTTACCAAACAGGACGAATAGTTGGATGTGATTTATATGGCAAGATTTTTCAATGATTTTATTTCTTCCTTTACCTCTCTCTATATATATATGCATAAACATGAATAAC